ACCAGCCACATCGGGAGCTTCCTAGATGCGCTGCTCCTGGAGTAGTTCATGAATCACCCAAGACACGAGGATAGTTTGCTCATGAAGGACACATGGATCCAGAGGTACACCCAGAGGCTGATGTTCTCTTGTGTTTTTTGCTTAGCAGGTTGCTCTGAAAACTAAGAGCAGGCATTTGTGGGAGGAAAGTCTGATGGCCAGCCCAGCCCCGACAATACCCTTGAGATGACTGGCTGTGTCTCTTACTCTATAAGGCTTCTCCATATGCTCAGTCCCAGGGGCTGAAATCCTCTGCTTCATCTTGTGCTTCTATTGGTTCTCTTCTGCTTTCCTCTAGTCAGTCGTGGGGGGTTTCAATAGATGTTACCTCCACCATATGCTTCCACCTGTCCTTGCCATTTTAGTTCCACTGCTCTACCCTGGTTTGCTGCTTCTCTCTCCGATGCTTTGGTTCATTGTGTCGCACCCTGCGGAACAACCTTGCTCCCAGGCTGATCTCCCTAAATCAGAACTTTGAGTGCATATCCACTCTCCCATCTTTATCTGTCATTTGCTCCACAATGGCAACTACTTAGCCAAGTAAAATCTTTCTTCCCTTGAAATTCAAGGTCCAGACCTATATATCCAGCCCTACATATCCCTGGTACTTGCTTCATTCTTGTACTGGAGCTCCATGAAGGCAGGATACTGGCTCCTGCATATTTTTATGTTCTTTGCAGCCTCTTGAACAGTGCCTTGGGTGTAGCAGGATCTCAGTGAATATCTGTTTCCATTAATTTTACTTGGTGTAACATCCACGGCATGCAGTAGACCCCAGGGTCAAGATTCTGGACCAGACCTTCAAGCAGATGGCTTACCAACACCCAGAGAGAAAAGCAGTGATCAGGACATTTGCAAAAGGATGAAGGAGGACGGATTTGAATGCATCAAGTATTCTGCTATGAGTAGACCATTCCGTTTACTCTGAATTTACTGACTCAGCTCAGTGTCCTTCTCCTCCACTCAACTTCTGCCACTGTCCTGGGTGATTTGGACTTCTCCACAGACATGCAGTTCCTCATCCCAGCCTTTCATCGACTCTTCCTCAATGTCAAAGCCACTTACTTCCCTTTCCTCTGGCCATGCCACACCCTGGGCTTTGTGTCCTGTTTCCCTTATCCAGCCTATGTACCATGGTCCACCACTTAACCCCGCTTTGGCCATCATCCTTAATTTCTTTGCCCCATACTCTTTCCAGCGCACCTGCCACTGATACTACCAACCACGTTTCTACTTCTACTCCAGGGCTGCTGGGGAAGCTCCCTGAGCCACGCTGACCCTTGCCACCGGCGTTTAAAGCAACAAGAAAAAAATATAATCTCACATTCCCTTCTGGGTCCTACCTTCTTTCCTTATACTCTTCACAGCCAAGTATCTGGAAAGAGTGGTCTCCCCATGCTGGCCCCCTCCCTCATGCTCTGCCTCCCTGAGGGTGGTGCCTCAGAGACTGTCCAACACGATAGCCACTGGCCACATGTGGCTACTTAAATAAAACTCAGTAAAAACTAAAACTTACAGATGCCCCATCTCAACTGCTCAATAGCCACAGGTGATGCAAATATAGAGCATTTCCATTATTTCAGAAAGTTCTACTGGACAGTGCTGGTCTATGCCACTTCCAAATTGCCCCTCCTCCTGGGCTTCCTGTTGCCATGAGCCATATCCCCATTCATCATGTGATCCAAGCCTTTTTAAGGAGGTTTCACTGTGCATTCTTCCCTCTCACATACTGCAGTGTGTACACTTTCATTCAGAGATTAAGCCTTGAACGTTCTTCTTCCATCCATACCTCCCCACCCAGGCCATCAGCTACTCCGTTATACCAGTGGCTTACTGTTCAGTCCCTACATTCTCATTCTCTCTACAGCAGACGGTGGGATTTCTTCAAATGCACAACCATCTGGTGACTTCCTGGTTAAAGTCCATCCATGACTTCATCTGCCTTAGAGATAAAGGTCAAACCCGTCGACAGGGCAGCGACCCTTTCGGATCACGTTCCTGATGGCCGCCCACTCCTGCCCATCTTTTGCCAGTCTCTGCCTGCCCCGCACACGCCAGCCACATGGGGCTTCCTGCAGCCCCAAACATGATGCTCCCTCCCAGGCTTTTACTTCTGTAAGGCCCTCCCTATAAAGCACTCTCTCCTTCTTCATCTACATAACTCTTGCTCAGTCTTCATGTCTAAGGTGGACATCACATGGTTTCAGACCCACACCCCTGCCAAGACCAGGTTTGGTGGCTCTTCCACCTGTCCCCACTGCACCCATGCTGACGCCATCATGTATCTTGTCACACCAAACCGTGATGCTCCACTGAATTCCCACTACCCACACAGGGCCAATCACAGAGGCCGACAGTGTCGTGGAATCTGATTTCTTGGTTGACCCCTCATTAACAGTAATGGTGGTTAATCTTACTGGGTGCTGCAGGAAATGGAATCAGGCAATTGCAAAGACTTCTTTGATAAGCTGCTTTTAAGTAAAAGATGAAGCTATTGTATCCTGCTAGAGTGGAGTTCTCTAGACTGTGATTTGTGGCCCATAAACGGGAAACAAAATCAATATCGTGGGTCATGACCAACTTTTTAAAAGCATGGAATAGAACAGAATACATACATATTAAGGGTATTGTTTTGTGAAATTTTTGTTTCAGCTATATTAATGCATATGTATGTGTGTACTGGGCCATAATGTAAAAGTTATCTCTTGCTGGGGATCAGTCACAGAAGTTGAAAAATACTATTCTAGATAATGCCTGGTTGATTATTCCTGGGGCAGACATACAAACAGTAGAGCTGCTTTAGGGCAATATACAATGATCTTAACGGTGTCACATTATACGAGCTCTGTAATTTTCCATTCTGTCTTCAACTGTGCCGTAATTCTCATTAACATTTCAGAAATATTTTACAATCTTTTTTTTCGTTTTGTGCTATCAAGTTATTCTAAAGGGTAACTTTTTTTTTTTTACCAGCTATACTGAGTCTTTAGCATCTGTTTAGAGGTGCAGAGATTCCCCTAGAGCAACTCCACAGATGGGGGAGTCCCACCTTCCCTGGTCAGCTTGCCCAAGGACCCCCAGGAGGAGGGCTGTGCCCACTTACCTGGGTATGGTCCACGGAAGTCTGAACCCATTAGGTGCTCAATAAATATTAGTTTGTTGAATGAATGTGTATGTGAGACGATTTTACCATTTACAGAAATAAGGGTCCACAACTTGCTATCTGATGTTACACACTCCTTTATCTACCCAAATCAGGGCGGCAGGGGTGAGGCATTATGATGAGTGCATACTCAACCCTCCAGAGGAGAAGAAAAAAAAACACATGATGATTACCCTGTGGTTACAGAGTTCTACAAGCCACTACAACTTCCAGGGAGGCCTAAATGTTTTAGTTTGAATTTCTACTGAACTTGTCTTACCTTGGTATCTTCATACCTAGAGCATTTCTGCAAGATCAAAATAAGAAATAAATGCCATTTAAGTTTCCCTATGTGTACCAACATCCATGGATTGATAATGGTCGAGAGGATGCTGAGACCTTGTCCTGGGCATGGGAGGAAGGATCACAGCAAACCACTGGAAATATTTTGCTACGGACAGAGAAGGGAAGTGAGGAGGGGCATTTGCCCAGAACTCGCCATTCCCCAGGGAGGACCTTATGAATGTTCTAAGGGTGAATGTTCTTCTTCCATATACCAATTATACAGGAATTCATCCCATCATAAAAGTAACAGGCACACATACATATTCATACAAAATTTTAACACATTTAGAAAATATGACTTACATGTTCTTTACTCAGACAATAACATACCACATTTGTGTTTAGCTTTCTAATATTTTCCACGTTTATACTTTAAAAACACTTGAGTATATAGTATATTACAGACTTTTCTTCCCCCTCTACATGTCCTGCACCCTTTCTAAGTCTATATATACTTTCCAGAATTTTAGAGGAGGCCATAAATCCTACTGGGATTCTGGATCATAATGGATGTAACTAATTCCCCGGCTGTTGGACAGTTGGGTGGTTGCCAATTTTTTCATTTTTTACAAACATTTTCATAAACATTTCTATAGTTGAGTCTTTGTGCTCATCCACAGCGATACACTTAGAATGAGAAGTTTAATTTTTCCTCTAAAAATACATGCCATGGTTATCTCCCTTTGCACATTTATTTACCATAGAATGTCCATGCCACTACTATTCAAGGGAAAAAAGTTACCCTGTTTTGATCTTGGCCTTGACAAAGGGACGTTCATAAAGCAACAGAGGTCTACAGGGAGAAGGGTGAGGCATGCCTGGCAGCTGGGTTACCTGGTTGGCCTTTCCAGCTTCGCCTAAGCCTGTCCTAGGACCCTGGGAGAACCATGGAATATTCCCGTGCTCTGTTTTCTCATTTTAAAAATGAGAGGGTTAGACTTAATTCCTTATACATGCCAAACCTTGGAATCTACGCTCTATAGCATGAAGGTCACATTTGCCCCATCCTGGAAACCCAAGGTAAATAAACTCAATCCGTTTGGAAAAATTTAAAGGGTGCAAAGTTTCCATTTGTGAGGCATTGTAAGAACGCCTCTCTGTCCCAGCTGGCAGCCCCATAAACGAAGCATTTCATGAGCTGCCCAGGGTTTGCTTAATGAGGGAGCCACGTTACACCATCAAATGTTTTCTTTCCCTTTGGTGCCATCACTTTCCCCTTCTTATGCCACTGAGAATTCAGTGTGGCACAGAGACAGTTTATATAAATGAAAACTTTGCAGTGTCGAGAGAGAGAACAGGTCTAAATCCAGAGCAAAACGTACAGATTTAAAGTTTCTCTTGTTTACTAATAGTTATTAAACTTCATAGACAAAAAAAAAGGCAAGCTCAAGAAACGGGACAAAGTCACGGATATTTACTCACCTGGTCATAAGCATCCAATTCATTATTGAGGGAATAAAGAGAGCATACATACCCAACAAACGAAGGAGGAGGAACAGGACTCCCAGGGCGTAAGACTTGAGTTCAGGGCTGACTGTCCTACGTGCAAAGAGGTGAAGAGAAGAAAGGAAAAGATTCTTACCACTCCGCTTTAATTAACAGACCCCAGAGTCATCCACTGCTGTCCATCAGAGCCATTCTTTAGAAATTAGTGGGTGGGTTGGTTGGTTGGTCATTCATTCATTCATTCATTCATTCGGCTTTCTTTGCCTAAAGTCTGAAAAACAACTAACTGCAGTGACAAGATAAGTTTAGGAACTTAAAAGTGTTTTTTAATAACAGGGCTAATCTTGTCATTGGAAAAAAGACATGCAAATGTGGTCCCTAAAGTCTTCCTTTAAAGGCGTTTTGCTTTTGCCAGGACAGGAAAACATCTTAAGTTGGTAACACACATGTATTGGGGAAATATCAACTAGGAAGACCATTTCTCTTCTAGCTTCACAAACAGCCAGCACCATGAACACCCTCGACCTTCTCAGGTTATTTTGTGAAATCATCCAGACGAGCATGGTTTGACACCGCAGATGGACCACTTGCAAAATAACCCATTCATCTATATCCAGTGTCAGTACCTTTTAAGTTGGAAAAGTACCTTCAGAGTCATGGTTCTTTGTTTTGAACTGACTCAATCACCCTGGCTTTGGTTTATCTACAACAGTCCCTTAGAATGATTCTCTTGCACATTTTCTAGAATATTCTCAGAATATAACATTTTCTGGGATGAGCATGACAGTAGAGGAGGTTTGGAAAGATGACCAATTCCAGATAAAGGGGCCCTCACAGCTGATAACACATCTCTTTTGAAATGCCTCTTACTCTTAAAACTCGTATTAATTCAGTGCTTGTCCTCTCTCCTTGAGTCAAGGGACAATTTGTATCTTGTTCACCATGAGTGCAGTGATGATATGCTGAGTAATATGTAAGTGGGTGGAGGGGTAGGCACATGTCTCTCACTCATGACCCAGGCTGGCCCCATCTCTAGTGGGGTGGTGAGGGGCTGTGAAGGTAGACTATTTGCCCGACTCCATGCACACCTGCTTCAGGTCATCCTGGACACCACTGGCAGAGAAACTTCCCCTTATGCTATTGCCATCATGAGTCCCTAGGGGAGATGGAGAGGTAAGCACACGACTATGACTCCTGGAAGGACTGGGCTAGGCCTAGAACGAGTCTGGTGTGGCTGAGCCTTTGGAAACACCAGGAGCATTTCAATATGGCTGAAAGACCAGGAAGACCCATGCAACACAGGGAGGACCTAGGCGATCAGTTCTGTAGAAAATAAATGTTAGAAACAAAGTACCATTGGATATCTAAGTCCACTAGGATATCTAATACCCAGGATACATAATCTGACTATGGATTTAGTGGCTAAAATTATATTCTTATATGACCTCAGAGGTCATTCATCTCACCATCCAATGCCATCCATTCCAATGACCTACCACCTGGTTCGAGCCTCAGGTGGGCATGTCTTTGGCTTCTCAGAAGAGTGGTCAAAGGACACCATCAAACCAAAAGGAACATGGATGTAGTTTTTACAATCTTTGCCCTAGTTCTAAGATTTTCAGTGAAAACTAAAAATGTGTTATTCTTGGGGAAATACCCATTTCCTCTCAATTATAAAGAGTGCAATACGGGCCAGCAGGTCAAGACTTTCTCTGAGCGATGGGAAAGCCACTCTCTGGCTGCTGAAACAAGATACCTGAACAACATCAACAATGAGATCAGCATTTCTGGACAGAACCACAGCCAGTTCTCTTTAGAATATACATGTTTCAAAATCCAAGTTCTTCGGAGCTATTTTCAGCTCCATGGTTCTGGTTTTTGCACATTCACTTGAAGGTACTGAATTGAAAGACATCCAAATAAAAGCAAATTGTCCTTTTCAAGAAAACATGCTGGCATAATGAGCTAGAATACTTACCACTTTTAATTTGTTTTCCTTTCAGCTCTCATGTCATTAGGAATAAAATGAGCAAGGGGCTAAGATCTTCCTTCATATCCTGTTGGGGAACTGGTTCCCCCAGAGGGAGTCTTCTTTCTCAGGTCTAGTTATGCAGAAATGGAAGGTTCAGGTCTGAATGTTACTGAAAGGTCTGGGCAAGGCCAGGGATGGGGGCTTAGGTCTACAACTTACGAGCTGATGACCTTGAGAATACTGCTTAACCATTCTCTGAGCCTCCACCTCCCCATCTGTAGAGGGGAATGCTAATAAGGATGTAAACATGTCATTAAAACAGGAGCCCAGCGCTGGCTCCAAAGAGGGGTGCAGTGGGGCTTAGCTTATATCCTCGCTACGGGTGTTCTGCACACTACAGTGGGGCCATCACTCTGGGACAGGGTAAGGACTGGCACACATCTGGGCTGTGGCCCAGGCTATGCCCTCGTGTCTGCCTAGAACATCTATGATGGCGTAGTGGACAGGGATGGTGACAGAATAAGGTGCTACCCCGGTCATCTTGATGGACCCAACGTGTGAGCCTGTGCCTCCAGCAGGCCCCAGCAGAGCATGGAATTACGGGGTGGCTGAGGCCCAACCTAGGTCATGTAGATCATCTGTTGCTGATCTATGCGAAGGAATCAAATGTGTCCTGAAAATCTCCAAGACCTGTTTATCAAGTTGGGACTTGGAAGTGATTAAGATTTCAACTTTCTGTGTTTGCTCTGCCCGTCACAGTGAGCTGGCTCTTTGTACAGAAATCATGGGGAGCAGAGGAAGGGGACTAGTCACTGCTAATTGTCATGAAGGTCATTCTTCCTGCACCTTGGTGCCTTTTGTGTGTGACCAACACAATATAACTTCACAGGAATTTCTAATAATGAAAAATAAGTTATCCATAATGCGGCCACCCCAGACCCATACCTAGGGCCTGATGGGTTTTGTCCACATGCATATTATATATAATCAACCTCCATATATAATTTAAATGCAATAGTTCATTCCACAAATACTTTTCACATTCTTAAGAATGTTCATTATCCCATGGAGCTATGGTACAGTACTATAATTTAATTCATTATTCCAATTCAGGTTCTTCTGCTATTATAGTTAACATTGTAATAAAAATCTGTCAGCATGGAGCTGTTTTTCTGGTAGAGAAGTATTTTCCTAAGTGGTGAGAGGTAGGGTTACCTCATAAAAAATCTGAACATTTTTATGACTCTTGATTCACAATGCTCTATTGCTTCTTTGAAAATTAGAGCGACAGGCTTTTCAATCCCACCAGCAGTATGCGATTTGACCAGTTTTGCTGCAGCCTTGCAAGCACTGGGTATGAGTATTTAACACTGATTTCTCAAGTTTAGTAAGTATAGAATGGCACTCTGTTATTATTGCCTTAATGCTTCTGCACATTAACAAGGCTTTGCTAATGACCTCCTCGAGCACTTATATAAGCACTTTGTAGAAATGCTCTTCCTTAGGAATTCATAACCAAGATCGGGAAATGTGGTGGCCATGGGGAGAAAGAGAGAGGAGGTGGATAAAGCAGCTGGGGATGTGCATTGTCAGCACAGGTCACACTCAAGCATTGCATTCCTACTTGTATTCCTACCCCCTAGGAGTGAATTAGCTGCATCCCAGTAAAGTGGGTCTGTCTGTGTTTGGTGTCGCTTCCTCTGGTTCAGTAGACACTGGGTTATGGAGCATTCCACTTCTAGGTTCCTCACACAACTCTAGGTAACTTGGCAAGTGTACAAGTTACTCGGAAGATGACGCCATAGTTCACCTCGGAGGCACGTCCCCTGCCCCCAGGACAGGTCCCGAGAGACGGGGAGCCACACACTATGGGTGCTCTCTCCAGCCATCTATTTATACAAGAGCGGTCACTTCTGGTACACCCATGGTCTCAATGGGACCCACACCAGTGCCAGAGGCCAGCAGGACCAATGACTCCCCGGCCCCCATTCAGAAACAAGTCTGAGGGGAAAATGTGCCCAAGATCATGTGGCGGATCAGTGGCTGGACAGGAGCTGGACTTGAGGACTTGGCTAGTCCAATGCCATTTTTGTTTTACTCCAACGATGCTGCTCTCTGTAAAAGTCAATGCGGGACCAAAGTTCCTTTCATAATCACCTGCAGAGTCTACTCTTGGGAGGATATGAAAGTGCATCATCTCCCTTGGGCCACGATTTCTGGTCTCTTGTGAGGTCCCTGGCCAATGTAACAGATCCCTATCAGCCTGGGGAAGCTGGCCTGTGAGACTCACACAGTACCCGATGTTCTGGTCTCCTGAGGACTGCAGACACCCAACGAGGTAGGCAGGGGCAGGGCGAGAGGCGAGGCTGGCTCGCCAGTCCCTGGGTCTGAGCTTACCTGATAAGGATGATGACCGAGGGTGTCTGCGCCATTGCCCCGATCATGCTGCAGACACACATCACACACAGGAAGGTGAGGAAGGCCTCTTGGCACCCGGGACTGGGGCACTTTCCGGGAACCACAGTCGTGTTCTCGGGTGGGACAGTCGTGAGGCACGCACAGCTGGTGAGATTCTGAAATGCAAGTATTCAGCCCTTTTAACTGGGGGCATCTCCCGTTTCCGAACCCAAAGCCATCCATCAGCTGCAGCTGTCACAGCCTAATTATGCATTCTGCGGCATTCCATTAATTAGGCCTGAATAAACGAGTTAGCTTCTTAAGGAGGCTGCAAAACACATGCAAATAAAGGAATATTTACGGGGAGGAGAGCCCATGCCCTATCTCCTGTGTGTTTCATTTCCACGTTCCAGAATCCCTCAATAAGCTGTACCCTTATGGGTCCCCCCCGCCAAGTACAATTAGAAAGGAAACTGTGCCTCCACAATAGGATAAAACATTGCCAAATTAACGTAATAATTACTTGCCAATTTGTCCTCTCTTTTATGCAGTGATAATATCAACGAAATGTATTAAAAGAAGTAAATCAGGTAACCTGCATATTGTTGCTGGTTCAGCGCCCAGTGTGGCACTTGGAACAAAGGACATGCATTGTCATGCACGAAGTCGCTGCTCTTGGGGGGCCACCGGAGGGGGCAACTTAATGGGAACATTCTCACATGGCAGGGTAAGCAAAGGGGGCTAAGAGGTGCCAGGAGCTTGGAGCAGATCACGCCCGGGCAGTGAGCTAAAGCCCAAACCAGACACATTTATTAATTCTTGATCCAAGGAGGAAAAAAAAAAAGGGGGACTGCATTCCATTTGATCTTGTGGGTGGATCCTTGCCCAGCTGCCCCTGCCCCCGGGCGCGGTCTGGTCCCTCCATCATCAGAGGAATTTCTGATGGCAAAGGGAGGAGCAGGGGCGGGGAGAGAGTGCCAAGCAAGCGCCAAGCCAATTAAGATTTGATAATAATAGAGCAGAGGCCTTTAATGAATACAGTCATAAATGATTCATTGCTTTTCTTCTTGGGACTGCTTGGCTTTCAGAGCACACGCCAAGGAAAATCCTCCTGAGGGTCAAACAAATCCCCTTTGGCTTTTACATTCCTCCGGCCTGTCTTCGTTCCTCTCCATCCTCCCTGTGCCTTCTTTTCTCTTCCCACAGAACACAGCATAGGTAGGGGGTTTTCTCATCCCATCAAGCCACATGGGGTTGCTTTCAGGGGTGTCCAAAGGCCCTTTAGGTGCCGCCCGTCCCTGCCCCATCAGGGCCACCTCATACGGCTGTGCCCCGCACAGGGGCTTTTATCCACGGGGCAGAGCTGTGGACAGACAGGGTGTGGGGCTGGACCCTTCTTCCTAAGAGCTGTGCCCAGAGCAGGTGCCTCTGTGTAAACAGCCCGGTTACTGTACCCTGTGGGGTTTCCTGTAATTCCCCCAGAGGTGCTGAAGCCTTGCCCTTCTGCCCCTTCCCACACACCTCTGCCTGGGGGCTTCCTAGGGCTTCTGGAAAACCTCCTCCTTCTGGGAGGCATCCCCCCGCTGCGCCGGCTCTGAGCCGGGGCCCTCTGTGCACCCCGAGGAGCCGGCACCTCCTTCTATGACGACACGCCCCACACCCCGCTGCAGGACCTTCAGCACGCGGCTGGAGGAGACCCCCATGGCTCCTGGGAGGAGGACGGAGTCTGAGACACACTCTCCTGAGCATTTCACGGAGCTGAGACACAGCAGGTGAAGCTTAGCAGATGGTTTTGGAAGACACATGTCATGCTCTTCCCCTGCGTTTACCAGGAGGCAGGACGTCCCCCCACCTAGAACTTAAAATGTCACTTCTCTCCCTACTCAGCATTGAGGAAAACTGTTCCCTCCCCTCCTCAGACTCCAACTTCACAACCACACTTTGCTAGCTGTCTACACTCACCACCCCCACCTCATCCCCCAAGCTCCCCCTCACTCGGGCTGGGCTGGCTTCTGTCCCCCACAGGCAGGAACCCGATCCATATCCTGAGCCCACCAGCCACTTTTCTCTTACTGGAGCCCCCTCAGGAGTGCATGCCTGTGAACCACACCCGTCCCTGGCTTCCACAGCCCATAATCCTCCCAGACCCACTTGATTCATCCTGCCCCAGGGCTCTGAGCACGTTGCCATCTCCATGAGGAATCCAAAACAAACGCCCAGAGCCGGATTCTGCACTGTCAGCTTGGCGCTCCCCCCCCCCCCCCGCTGGGAGCTATTTCCCTAGAAGCCCCTTCCCTGCAGGGGTGAGGGCTAGATGGGGGAGGCACGATGCGGGTGCAGTTTAGAAGGCAGATGTGAAGCAGAGGCTGCTACCTCAGAAGGTCAGACACAGGGATGACATCACACCTGTGGAGGTGCCCAGAAGGTGCTGGCTGGCCCTAGCATCCCTGTTTACACCCCCCTCGTTTCTGCCTGTCCTGCTGACAACAGGACAACAACTACTGATGTGGCTGTTTGCCTGCTGATGTGGCCAGCACCCCCTTCGTCTCACTCAGCAACCACGTGAACACAGCTTCTTGGGATTTTCCCACAAGCCCCCACGTACCCACCTGAGCAGGTGCTTCTGGGGATGGAGTAACCGTGCTCTGATCCTTCATCTCACTCCTCCCAGATTGTAATTCCCCAACTCCCCCATGTTCACAGTAGCTCTGATTCCCACACTAAATTCTTTATTTCCAACATACTTGTGGGTGCTGTTTTCCTGACCAAACCCTGACAGATGCACATCCCCCGCCCCAACCTCCTTTCCCTCTGCAACTCTTGCCTGAGAAGTGGTACCCTATTAACTCTCTGGAAACTGGGTGGTAATTCTGGACCCCGACCCTTACTCCCACGTCTGATCCGTCTTCCTCAGGACTATGAGGCTAGTGAGGCCAGACACGACTGTGGTTTTGCTCCCTAATTTATCCTCAGCTCTAGGGGACAGGGCTTGGCTCATGACAGGGAGTCAAGAGCTATTTATCAAACAAATGAAGAGATCTCAAGTCCTATTCATTTCACTGTATCCTAAATCCTTCTCAAACCCTCAAATCCTTCTGTCTCTGATTCCTGCAGTAGCCTGGGAGAAAAGAGAGGTCCAAGTCTGGGGGGTGGGCTGAGACCCACACGGACCCAAAGAGTGCTCAGGTATAAATGAGGAACAGGCCCCTTGGGGATGGCTGTGGTCCTGCCTCGTCAAGCATCCTAAGAAGTGAGCTCCAGCTCAGCCTCTTAAGAGATGTGATGTGAGTACTGGAACTGAGTGATCAGGGCCAGGACCCGGTGAATGAACCATGTGATTGGTGAGCTTTGTTTCAGTTTAAAAAGTAATCTGTAACTGGGACCTATGCTCAGTCATAGATTTTTGCCCAATACCTGGACTAGGGCTCGACTGCATTATATTTACCATAAAAGGCAACTGCCTGGTTCCTCTCTGCTCTGAGAAGTGAAAAACCCCTTCTGAAATGGATCTACTCCGGATTCGGTCTGTGCTCCTGCCCCTAATGGCGTGGGATCGAGAGAGACCGCTTTCTCTCAGACTGTCTGACTCAGCGACTGCCCGGCCCTCCTGGTCCAGGGGGTGAATGTGTCCATGAAGCCAATGCCCCGGGGATGGAGTGAGTGGACAGCAGAGTTGAGCCGCCATGGGATCTGAGGCCGAGACAAAGGGAGGGACGTGACAGTGCACAAAGCCAGGGAGAGGGATGAGACAAAAGCAGGCCAAGGGCAGCTTCAGGCCGACTGGACAAAAACGAGGCACTTGTAAGGTCATTAATACCAGAAGAGCAGAAGTGGGAAATACAACCAGCAAAGATGTTGGCTTACTGGCACCGAGGAAAGAAGATACAAATGGGTGGGTCCCTCCCAGAGGTTCTGGGCAAACCTGTATTTATTTATTCAGATTTAACTTAATTTATTCGAGAAGGGCTGAAGAGGCTGGGGAGGAGGTAAGCCAGAGGGTCCGAGCAGGGACTTGGATGGGTCTCCTTTTTGGGCAGGTGACTCAGTCTGACACAATGACCAGGAACCACTGGGTGGCCCCACGGTCTGAGGGGCAGCTGGGACTTCTGGGCAACCCTTCCAAGGGGTATCTAAGGGAACATGCTAAGCCTGTGGCCATATGGCAAGAGATGGGGAACATCCTTCATTTGGGCTTAGGTGACACAAAAGATGGGCCTGGACGTCATATGCTAAAGGAGGTGCAGGGACTCTGACTGCTGAGGCAGCTGTCTGGGAAGAAACTTCCACCCACACGTCCACATGTGGTGGAAAGAACCGCAGATGAGGACCACACAGTTTCACCTTTCCCATAATTGCGAGAGATGACTTTCCACCAATGGGGTTTCAGACTACCATCCCAGATAGAAAGGAAGTGGGGGGACAGCCCTTCTGCTGGTATTAACCGGGTGTCTCTGTGGGAACTCCTAAACTTGCAAAAGCTCCAAGCAGCAGGAAGCTGGAAAATACAGAGCAGACCTGGGTGTGACAGAACGATCCACTCTACTGAAGGGATCTAGAGGGCTGGAATCTGAATTCTCACCCTGTCTGGATACAACAGTCCCTTCGGGCCAGTCTCAGATGGGTCTCAAAACCCACCTGTAGACCATCACGGCCTGAATGAAGTGGTAAACCCAATGCACTCCTGGCCAGTGCCTGATATATTTAACTAGTAAGAAAGTACACCAGGCTCCAGGAGATTGGCTTACCACTCCTGACCTGCAACATGCCCAGTTTTCCATCCCCGTTTCAAAGGAATGTCTTCCCAGTTTGCCATTCTGTGGGAGGGAATGCAGTCTCTGCTGTCTCCAGGGGAGCTGGATTCTCTGTCTGGTGTCATATATTGAGGTGAGGTGGGGTGGGGGCGGGGTCTGGCTTTCCTGGAAATAAGTGTATCCTGATCTATCATGGTGATAATCAGATGACCACTGTGCTCACAGAGGAGCTGGCCTGGCAATATCTGGTACCAGTGCTGACCCAGAGGACAGAGTGGGACTGACCTGGAAATTCTGTAAGAACTTATCCTATAGGCAGACCTGTACTGGGCATAACATGACCTAGGAACTCCAAGAGACACAACGATGTTTGCAAGACCTAAAGCCGTGCAGCAATCTGAATGCCCATCACAGGGACTGGTTAC